GTGTATTGTAGCGTTACATTTGCTGCTCTGATGGTTTTCCCCTGAATGTATTGCTTAAACAACAAATTTCAAAGGATAATTAATAAAGACACATTCACATTGATTCAATTCACAGTGAATCATTGTGAAAGAGCGCCCTATGGGTTGTCAAAAATCACCTTAAAACCTTGAGTTACACGGTTTTTACGAACTCTTGATCCTAGTGTATAGCGATGTGCTAGTAAGCTTTTTTGTAGTTTCATTTGCTCCAGCATTTTTGTAGTCATTGTCTGTGAAAGTGTTTATAGAATTGAAAATCCTCGATTGCTGCATCGTTTGACCCTACGGTAACGACTTAAAATTGCTTTTCAAAACCATCGAAATCAGAGGTGTCAAATATCTGGACTTTTATCCAACATCATCTTTTTGAAGCTGTTAACAATTTTTTTTTGCCGAATTTTTTTTTTTTGCCGAAGTAGATTCTTGAAAATGTGGTAAGGCGATAATGCATATGTTGCTTGTCCCGCGTGATACCTGTAATTAGACCTTAGGGAATCAATTTTTGAAATTTTCCACATTATTGTGACGTAGTTTGTTTATATTCACAACATTTTAACTTAGCTAGTTCCTTTGCGAAGAACTGTACCTCTGACAATGAGTTACGGGAATAGAAGGCGTGTCAGCAAATTTAGCAGAGAGGTTCAAGCTATATTTTTCACTTTCTACAATTGATGGTGGGCTTATTGTTAATATCACTACAGCATACTAGTAAAAGGTTTTTCATATACATCTCCCTAATTTGTATTTTCTTTTATACATTTTGCTTTTTTTCTTTCTATGTAACATGTCAAAAAATCTCCTAAATAAGAAGTGTTTTTCAATGCCCTCGTTAACAGCGATCAGTTGGTCATAGCCTAACGGAATGGATTACTTCTTTTGCCTGCCGCTTCTCTTTTTTTCACCAAAAATTGTGTTCGAACACTCTGTCACATTCGATTTTCTTCTACGCAAAGCTTTTCGACGTCTAATGTGTTCTGCATGGTTTGCCATCTCTAAAAAGTGTTCTTTAAGTGGTCAGCTCTTTAGGAGCTGGCTCGTGAGTTCGCAACATGGTCAACGGCCTTGGAAAAGACGGCTTTATGGCTGGAAGAGGGTGAAAGGAAGAACAATGAACGATTTCATGACCAATTTGCGCATGCTAAGGTTGGGCTGATACTTTTCCGACCAACATGCCTATATTGGCTGTTTCTGTATGCTTATTTCTTCATTTTTAGAACATCTTTGCTGATCTCAGCCAAAAATTTGCTGATTTTAAACATCCGAAAGCGTTCGAAGAAAAACTCGAGAGGACTGTGCATAAACTTAGTGACATTGAGAATTCCTTAGACGATATGACAGGTATCTCCTGAGAAAATCACAGTTCACACCTTAACTGAAGTTCATCTGATTCACGTTTCTAATAGCTTCAGGAATCGAAGCAATTTTCTGCGCTGACGCATTGACGGAAGCAAAATCTTTAGTGAAGAAATTGATTGCTATAGAAGAAGATATTCAAAGCCTAGAGAAGGGGAAGGAGCAGTTGATTCAGGTATGTTGCATGAATTTTTCTTCCACCTTCGTTGTGCACGATTATTTCGGTTTTCAGCTTATCTCATATTATTGTCTCAAAACCATTCTAGTGAGTTCTAGAAATTTCTAACGATAAGAAAGACAATTTCGCTTTTCCTGCAATCCTCG